TCCGGGCTTCGACTTCAACGTTCGTAAGGTAAAGTGTAATAACTAATATGAAATATAATACATGGTAAGAAGCTAATCAGGTAAATAAAAAAAAAAGTTCAAAAGAAAAAAATGAACAACATTTTTAACACTATACTTTTTGAATATTTGCTACTACAGCGTTTCGTCACATAAAACTAGAAATAAACTGTAGATAAACTATAGTAGTCCGAAAAATCAGTAGTTTTTCTATAGTTTTTCCGTACTAAAAGTAGTAAATTCTATACTTAGACATCACTAATACTGCAAAATTCTTCAGTTTAATTCTGGTTTAAACACACTTTACTCTCTCCTTTTTCACATGTTTAACTAATGTTATTGGTACATCTAAAACACAGAAACATCCTAGAGAGTAAGTGAAGATCCTTCCACCCGGGCGTACTCTCTTCCCATAAGAGCCCATGTAAAAAAAACGTGGTTACGGAGCCACACCCAGAAAACCGTTTCTTTGAATTAAAGAAATTTTATTTAATTCAAAGAAAATTTCGTGCCAGAAACCAAAGAAATCTTTTTCGTTCATATAACGAAAAAATTTCTTTCACTCAACGAAAGTTATGTCAGATTGACCAAATTTTCGTTGAGATAAAGAAATTTTTCTTCAAATTAACGAAAATATCGTCAGTTCGTGATTTCGTTAAGTCAAAGAAACGGTTTTCTGGGTGCAGGGTAAGGAAAGGTACGGAAAAAGTTCTGATAATTTTGATCCGGAAGTCTTGGTCTTGAGTACGGAGTCTGTTCCGGCGTTCCGTACCCCCTTCCCTATGCTAGCCCATGTAAAAATCGTTAGTACGGTGGCCATGTACGGCAAATCTCCGAACCGCTTTCGAAAATCACTCCCAAAAGTGAGGTACGTGACAGGCTCCATATCCAAGACCTATTTTTAGCCCGCCCTTCTGCTTTAGAAAAACTATCTAGCGGGCTTATGCAAACGACCTCGTGTGTGTCTGTCTGTCTGTTCCACAGGAAGGAGGTGTGCTAGAGACTTTAAATTTTCAGGGGATCTCAAGGTTCACTCCCACAAAAAAAACGCCTACGGCAAATCCTGCCAGCCACCTGTAAGGGGTATCGAAGAAAACAGGAAAGGCCAAAAAAGTTGGAAAAAATACTTTCTAAATGATCTCCTAAGAGGTAACTTCTAAAAGCAGAGTCCTATGGACGTAAATTTCGTCCGTTTTGCTCTTTCTCTAACCGTTTACGCGCTAGAGGGTCTTTTTCGACGAAAGTAAGCGAAAAATTGCCATAGCGAACAATTAGATGTAGAAAAAAGCCTTAAAACCGCAAAACAAAGGAAACTCTCCCCCCACACTCAAAAAACGTTTTCTAAGCAGAAGGATGGGTTGAAGTCGCGGTGCTTCACCGTTACATCCCTTCCTCACGCCTTTGGGGCAAACTCAAAGATGACGGGTTTAAGCAGGCCGAAGACCCGCTCCATCATTCGATCATGTTCTTCGGCAAATCGCGTGACAGAAATGTGCATAACTTTTTTTTAATTACAGTAACTTGCTGAAATTATTACAGATCGATGTATGCATTACTACAATTATACATTAAAGTATAATAATAAAAACGTAGAAAGACGCAGATTATTTAAGACACATATAAAACAAATGAATGTAAGCAATGTCAAAATCACATCTGCATGGTTGATGGATAAAATCACATACATGAACAATTAAAAGAAAAAAGAAAAGAAAAAAGAAAACAAAGAGGTTGCTTAAAAATTAGAACCTGTTTAAAGTGAAACCTTGCTGGTGAGGTTTCATTCACTTGGAATAATAGTAGATTTTACTTCATAAATGAATGCGCGACATATAGGGCAGGTGTGGTTGTTAATCTCTTGAGCAACTGCACACTGGTAACAGAAGTTGTTGTGCAAACAATTTTGAAAGGTTCCTTCATAGTCAGTGCCTGGTTCCCACATCTTCTGACAAATGCAGCGATCAAATTCTATGGACAAAACAACAGAATTGTGATATGCGCCCACTTTGGATAGAAGCACTTAGGTAAATTGCTGTTACATACCTTTTTCTTGCTCACATCTCTCATGGTCTCCATTGTATAGACTTAAGCTACTGCTCTACTCTTTTGGGAAGGTCTGAGAGAGAAAAAACAAAATCAGTAACCTTTATTTAATATTGTATGAGAGCACAACTGACCTACTGTGAAGATATTAAACATCTCTGTCATTTACAATCATACCATTTCATCTGAATCCTCACCATCAGAGCTGATTACAATTATGTCTTTGGCTGCAGGAAGAAAAGATCTGATAACTGATGAATTTTTCTTCCTACGGACAGCATGAAGCCTTAAGCTTTGACAGCAATATAATCTAAGAGACTTTTAATGGCTTTTCAATAATAATCTACTCGTTAAATTTTTATGTTTTGCCAATTTCAGAAAATGGATTGGAACCAGTTGATGGATGATTGCATTTGGATGATGCATACAAAATAGGTAGGTACACAGACAGGCTGGTCACTTCCAAACCTACATTGAGAAACAAAATACAGAAATGATTGTCCAACACGGAGGGCTCTTTTCACCACTCACAGAAAGATTCTCGATAGTTCATTACAATGAAACACAGAACATATTCCAGATAAATGTCAGCCCATGACCAACACAATGTAAGAACCAGGCTAGGATCAACAGGCACAGTAATCAGTCTAAAGTACATCCAGCTGTTGTAAATTTGACAAAAATAGCACTCTCATGATACTAAATTGAAAAATATACAGTGGCAAGTTAAGGCTTTGACTACAACGAGAAATAAATTGAAAGGTCACAACAGAGGATTTGAAATTGCTAACAGCGCCTTGAAAAAAGTATTTGGATTTGTTAAGTGGCATTCAAATTTTCAAGTAACCCAGTGAGAAAAACACATGCTCTTACATAAACTGGTTGTTTTGTCACAATCAGAGTCAGCGATTTAGTTCCATTAGTTCCATTGCACTATTTTCCCGTGATGTGAAAGTATGTTCTGGTATACTCTCATTTGCATTCAAAGTCAGCTTTTAAAGTCACAATGGGAACACAACTTGTGATGTATCCTGAATGCTGTAAGATAAGAGGTCGATAAATAGATTAATTTCTTGCAGCTTATCTATCTTATTTTTAGATGGATCATAGAAGATTGTCTTCTTACTTGCATGTTTCCCTGTTCTGGAGAAGGCTGCTCTGTATCAGGGGCGTTGGAAGTCCTCCATA